AACACAAGGGAAAATGTCATTTCGTTTTGTAGAGACTCCAAATACAGGTTCAGCTAAAGAATCTCATATGGTTACTGGCCTGATTGTGTAATGTGGGTGGTACACGGGAACATATAAGGTAAGATGTGGGTAGCAGGAGAGAAAGTTTGAAGTCAGAGGCAGAAAGAGTAGTATAAGATGTGATGTGGATGACATGACTAAATGTTTATCATACAATGTGAGTAGCATGATGCAAAGTCTAAGGTATGATGCGAGTGGGACGAGGAAAAATATCTGTTACGATATGGATGGCGATAGAGAAAGTCCAGTAATTGAAGTAAATGACACGACAGAAAATCTAAGATATGATATGCTTTGTTGGTGAAGACTATCTCCCCCCGATGCAACTGGTAACAAAGTATTTTTAATCTTCATCTTGATTTTGTCACACTTTCAACTTTTATGACTATAATTTATGACTATAATTTGTCTACCAGTATTTTTTTAACACAATGAGCAAGGCTTTAAACTGATTCTCAACCAATATATATATTCTTCCCTTGTTAGATAAAACCATTTGCTTACCATTGACGATGTGTGAATAATTTTCTCACTGTTTTTCAAAAATTTGTTTAAACTCTTTTGAATACCAATAAAAAATGTTGAAAGTTATAATTTCTTTTTGTTTAATATAACGCAGTAGTTGTCAATTATCTGAATTCTTTTTCACATTTTACTTTCTTGTACGATAAAGTCAACTTGTATCGCTGCCTCCAGAAATTCATACATAATTTATATAAATATATTTTATCGAACAAAAAAAAATGTTGTTGTGTGTGTCTTTGTGGTGCACGGGAGTGGGTGAAACTGGAAAGTGTTTGCAATTATTTTAAGTAGTCCCTCTTTCGTAAGAATCATTTGTTAACAAGCATGTTAAATAATATATTTAGAGTCTAGAACACATTCATTGAAGTTTACACATTCAGTCGATGGCAAATATGTTGTCCAGATTTATTTTAATATAGTAATCACAACTTGTAGTTTTACAGTTCCAAAGTGACGACATTTCAGCAAATGACATAGATTAATATGACCCAATGATCATCAATTTGATTGATTGATTAATTAATTAATTAATTTATGTATTTATTAAGCGTGATCTATTGCTCTGAATGTACAAATGACGACTGCAAATCTTGAAAGTGCCAGCATTGCACCCGCTGTTAATATATGCAAATAACTGGCAATAGATATTCGAATACTCTATTACAGCCGGCAATACTCGCTGCGAGCTATTAGGTCACGTGAGTGTCCCGACCCATCTGTAGTCAACGACAATAATTAATCATGTAATTCAATATTGATATTACCATCATTATTTTTTCAATTTCTAGTGCCGTATTCTTTTGCGTGACCATACATCATACAATTTTCAAAAGTATTATTAAATCGTGTCGATTTACACGCAGTAAACATTCCAGGACAAGACTAATTTTTTTAACTGGATGTACAACATTTAAATTACAGTAAAATGGACATTTGCGCATACACAATGGAAACAATGATAATCCAGTGTTTAGTTCTTTAATCCTTATCACCTGTCGCATGCATGCTTTGCATTTTTTATAATGGATGTGAGCAAACGTGGCAGCGCTGACACTGTAACCGAAAAATACGATTCGCTTGTGTCATTCCCCTAGTCGATTCTGTCATATCATGTACCTGGCACGGCCTGGGCCGATTTACTATTAGTTCCAGACGATGTTCTGATGAAGAAATCGGACATAATTTGTTAAAGCATTACATTATTCGGTGAATACATATCATTACGGTAGGTTGGACTTCTTATTTCGACCATTTTAATATAACCATGTTTCATATTGCTGTAGAATTACATCACATAGAAAGCATGTCAATGCAAAGAATGGGATGGACGTTCAAAAGTGCATAATTATGTTTCATGTTTTGTTTTCAGATTCATATATTAGAAGCGTGTTGTCATGGTAACATTATGGCAAAAACGCTTGCATTTTAAATCTATTTAATATTGTTATAGTACATTATGTGTATTGTAATGTACCACTAAATACTGAGTCAATAATGGAAAATATTAAATACAAGCATAATTTTACCACAAATATTCATTCAAGTTGTAATATGTGGAAAATTACCCTTTGACCTGATTTACGAAAACTGATTTATAGCTAATATTCGACATTTCTTTGGACAAGCTGTGACAAGGAAGGACAACAATGAAGGTCATACAACGGCTTGCATGTGAGTACGCCCTCCGAGTCCATCATGATTGGCATTGGTTTTCATTACTCAGAATATGGCCCTCTAAGTCGTTATACCACATATTTAACGAGGTTCCCAAATATATAAACCCAGTTTATTGTCAGTTGATTGTTCGTGTATATTCCTAACCCCTTTTTCTGATTACAGAAATGAAGGCACTTAATGTGCGGAGAACACTGGAGTACCTGCGAACGAGGCGACCACCCGCGTCCCCGTTGACGTTCGCATTTCTTATTTTCGTCTGTATATTGAACGTGGCTGTGATAATATCGAATCACAGGAGTGCGAGAAACTCCAGTGAGATATGTCGAGATGTTAATGGTGCGAATGTTGGATTGAATGAAGACTCCAATTTTCCCATTTCAAAAGAAAGCCCGCCTAGTAACGCAGTTAACATATTGGTGTTTGCGCGCATGCGCACGGGTTCGAGTCTCAGCGCCGATTATTTTAGTTTAAATCCGGATTTTTTCTACGTATACGAGCCAGGATTCATTCTTAACAGATTTCGTCGAGATGTGTGGGATGATTCCTGGATGTTTCTCGAAGGAATAAGAGAGGAACTCACGGGGTTCATGGATGGCATATACAACTGTAACTTAAATTTCACTGGAAAGGAGCAATTTTTAAGAGCCATGAACGAGGTTCCATGGATGAAAAAACTCACGCGCACAGAGTTTTTAACGACAGTCAATGAAAGAGGCATACTGAATGTTTGTAAATACCGCCAGCATAAGTTAATTAAAACTGTAAGATTAAACAACATCATAATGGCTGCCCAAATGATCCGCAAAAATAACGTGAAGGTCATTCAAGTTGTGCGCGACCCGCGAGGTATGTCCTCGTCACGCGCGCGCTTTCAAATATACAAGAAATACAAGAACACTCCGAGCCGGGATGAAATGCTAGACAAGTTGGACGACATTGTGCGGAATTACTGTGCATGGATGGAGACAAACTACGTATCCGTCATGCACGGACCGGAGTGGTTGAGAAACAACTACAAAATCGTACGCTTTGAAGATCTCGTGGCCAGACCCGCAGAGAGTGCGGCAGCTCTGTACAAATTTGTAGGATTGCCGATCACTGACAAAGTCCGGCAAAAAATACGCACGTTGGAAGAGGAAAAGCCGATGGACGCTGAAGCTTGGAGGTTCAAAACCGGAATGGAACTAGCAAGACGGGCCCAGGAAATGTGCTCTCCTACGGTCTACGATATGTTTGGATATCGCATGATAAACAGAGGCGGTATACTGATGAATAAGAACTTTTCTTTAGTCGGCGACCTCCCTCGAAGTAGCATGTTTCTGTTGGACAACATTTGAATACCCGGATGAACCAGGAAGTCGATGGTGACTCATAGTACAACCAATTCAATCTCTCGTACACGCGCCCTCTAACGACGAATCCCGTCCGTGGCGTAAAATGCGGTGGATGGTGAAAGACATTGACAAATGTATTTTGAAAGAGACAAATGTACGTTGTTCCATCCCTTCCCCCATTTACGTCACAGAAACGATTTGTCGCTAGAAGGACACGGCTTACAGGAAAGGTTTGACAGTTAATGTTATGCAACGCAATGGACCAAATTACAAGGCATTTTCCTATCCTAAGATATTCACAAAACCGCTAGAATCTAACTTTGCTCAATGTTGAAAGTTGAAAGTTTATTTGTTTCAGTCTGTAAAAAAAATATTAACCATAAAATTATACGCTGGAAGATGATCGCCATTTTGTCACGTGAGTTGGGTGAAACTTGAAACTTTTAAACATTGGAGATATTTTAAGTTTAAAATCAAAGATTGTTATTTTGTGTGCACATTGATCAATTTCAGAAATTTCTTTTATTTAACGCCATAATCATTGCTGTGTCTGGATATATAATGTACCACATTACAGCCAATTTGATTAAATTCTGAAGTAGGTATAATAATTATTCGCTTACAATTTCAGTCACTAACGTACATCAAAGCAAATGAATATGCAAATCGCGTTCATGCAAAATGAATCTGTCGTTTGTAAATCAATCACGGCGCGCCTTACTTAAAAAGTGGTATGAAACACGAGCTCTGATTGGTGTCATATCCCACAATCACCGTTTGGTCTGATGTACATTACAATTTAATCAGACATTTAGGGGCACGCATATTCAATTGAAATAAATAATTTGTATTCTGATAAAATCAAAATACTAAAAATTAAAGATGTAATATACAATTGAATGTTTGTTTGTTTGTCTTTATTCATCATCGTTTATTGATATACTAATTAGATCAAAGGGCGGTTGTCGCCGCACTGCGCATGTGCGAAATTTGTGTTGATAAACATTGATTTTCCAAAAATTCAATGCGTCTTCTAATGTACATCACAAGTACGAGGCTTGACCTGGGCGGGACTCACACCAATTACAGCCTTTGACTTCTTTGATACCTTCCAATCAGCTAAAAAAAATACCTAATGAAAGCTTAGGACGTCCCAGTTTGCACTCGTTGAATTGCGCAACAGCCAAAGTCGTCATTTTTGATTATATGAGACCCATATATTTCGCGCATGCGTGGCGCTACGACTACCGCCCTTTAAAATATTTGTATATGGGTTCATAAAATGGCATAGGAAAATATCTGCCTAAAATGCGTATTCCTGCTGGCAGGAAATGTTACATGAACGAACGACCCCCCCCCTCACCGTCGCGCGCATAGTAGCTGGGCAGCCAGAGAACCGAAAACTATCAAATAACTACTCAATACACCTCTTCTGTAAAGCCTGCCCTCTAGCAATGAATCGTTTCTGGGACGTAAAGAGGGTCACCTGTAAAAAATGATTACACGACGAGACATTTTATTACTGACGTTCTTCGACAATAGAGGGCGCTACTTATAGAAATTGATATTGCGCATGCGATATAAGCTTTAAAGATATAGACTACCGTGTACACGCCGTCAGACTGCAAGGTCAAATTTTCCTGGAGTAGTTCTAAAAATATTTCGGTAAGTGCATAGCATAAGTCATTGCCATCAGGGTATGGAATCTATGAAACAAGATACAGAAAAAAAACAAATTTGTAAAAATAGCATTACCATCAGCCAAACCAAAATGATAGATGAATCGTGACTTCGGGAAAGACCTTTGATGTGGAATAAAATCAGATTGCCAATAGTAGCTTTATAATGTGTCATAGGCGGCGGCACGAAATTTTGCATGGACAGGGCGGGATATACTCACCATCCTACGCGCCGAAAACGCGACCTTACTAGGAGGGTCCGGGGCATGGTCCCCCGGAAAAAATCTAGACCCTCTGAAACGCTATTTCCTGCATTTTGATGGGCAAATTTTCTGACACAAAGGGTTTCAGCTTGATTTGTGTGTGTGTGTTTGGGGGGGGGACGCCCCCAATATTTTTTCGGGGTGGGGGGCTGCCCGCCGGTGCCGCCGCCACTGCGTGTTTACGTGACGTCAATTAGCAACGAAATGCTATTTTTACAATCGTGGGCGAGTAAGGTGAATACAAAGTGCACGAACATCTACTCATCATGCTGGCATTCCATGTTTGTGACCCACCGTGTAGTAATATCTGAGTCTGAAACAGCTATCATGAAAGAGCGATTGTTGAGTTCAACAACATGTTATAAAACATGTTGTAAAACATGTTATAATCGTGAAATAAACATATCCAACTCGTCACTGTAAACAAAGAACTGAATAGTAGCTGATACACAACTAATTGATAAAGAAAAAACAAACACAGACATATATTATATAATCACAGACCCAGAAATCATTAAAATAAACAAAACAAAATTGAAAATGTGTATGAAAAATAAAATTAATATAACGGTTTAATCCTTTTGTTATTAACCGGTACTCGGGATCGTCTTGTTCACAAACCTTTCAACCAAGAAAAAACACACACACAGATGGTATCGTGTCAACGCTAGTCTCAGTCCCCTCGTGAATACTGACCTTATTCCTCTTTCAAATCATAATCTACTACACGGTAATTTAAGATCTTGAGGCGTGGCCTCCACCCATTTCACTCACGTAGCCAATCACATGAAAGTATTTAACATGCTATTATATACTTGATTAATTATTCATTATGTTGGAAGATCTCTCATATAAAACACCGTCAGAATACACTCGTGGAGTGTCAGGGTTATCATGTGTGGTAAAATAACAGTCCGTTGGCAAAGTGTACATCTTTAATTAGTTCCAATCACTGATTCACCACTCAAATGATAACAGAGTATTAGCGAGCGTGAAGGATCTCGCCCGTCCTTTCATCGGAAACCAATCATCAAGCCATAATCAGTGAGTTTCGTAGTAATTGCCAAAATATGAACCGATATCTAAACACATGAAAATATAATCATGAAATTAATAGCAAACAATTGCTTAACAATGCTAACAAATGATGAACTACGATAACAAATGATGAACTACGATAACAAATGATGAACAACGCTAACAAATGATGAACTACGATAACAAATGATTAATTACGATAACACATTATTAGATTTCATTTGAGTAATCACCATCTAAAATGATTAATTCAAAAGAAATGCTCTTTAGCAATATGTTCACCCATACTCGACTTGACCAATAGACTTGCTGCGCATGTGCAACTAATTGTCACATCAAGAAGACAAATTTTCACATACACCCATCAGTTGCCGTTGATAATTGTTTATTGTTTTCGTAGTTACATATTAGTATATTAGTTACATATTAGTATATTAGTTACATATTAGTATATTAGTTACATATTCATAACTGCAATCGTAGTAAGGCGCATGACGTGATATTGTTGTTTGATCATGAATTAATATTACAATACTGCTGTGTATAATGTATATATTCAAATTCAAGGCTAATATTTAATAATTAAAACAAAATATCTAGGCTGTGCAAATAATAACCTTCTAACATTATGTATAGTCACACCGAAAACGGATTATCTTTCAGGTTGGTCACAAGTAATATGCATTTGACAATATATTAATTTAACAATTTAGCGATTTTGTAGAAAAAAGTGTGTATTCTTGTTTTTGTAAGTGTGTGTAATAAAGCATTTAAAAATAAATTTAGGTTTTACTTATACACGCATGTAATTATATAATTATAATGATTATCTACGCTGTATTTGTAACGCAGGGGTAAACCAGGAGTCATAAGTATAATACACGCACGCTTAGGGGGTACTCTCTATTCATTTAGTTTGATATTTTACAACTAAAACTAGCAGTGGACCTTAGTTGTGATAATAGCACGAACATTGCGACATGACACCAAAGCGAATATGGGCTATATTTGTGATGATTGTAATCGGCCTGGGAGTGATTGTGTTCGGCTTAACAATGTCCACTATTGACAGTGACCATCATAGGAGCCAGCAGCGTGAAGAACCAAAAGATGTATTCAGG